AGAGACGACATTCCCCTAGCATATCAAATGCTCAAGCTTCAACCGCCACCTGAATTCTCGCTGATACACACCCAGAGCCTATCAGCAGACCGGCTAACCACCGTTCCACATCCAACCTGGGCCTATCGCCAGTCTCCATCCGCTTCCCTCTCGACAATTTCAAGCACTCTTTGGCTCTTTTTTCAAAGTTCTTTTCATCTTTCCCTCGCGGTACTTGTTCGCTATCGGGCTCTCGCCTGTATTTAGCCTTGGACGGAATTCACCACCAAATTTGGGCTGCATTCCCAAACAACCCGACTCTAAGACAGCACCTCGTGGTGCGACAGGGTCTAGGCCCGACGGGGCTCTCACCCTCTCCGGCGCCCCTTTCCAGGGGACTTGGGCCCAGTCCGCCGCTAAGGACGCTTCTCCAGACTACAATTCAAACGGCAAAACCATTCGATTCTAAGGCTGGGCTGTTCCCATTTCACTCGCCGTTACTAAGGAAATCCTTGTAAGTTTCTTCTCCTCCGCTTAATGATATGCTTAAACTCAGCGGGTAGTCTCGCCTGACTTGGGGTCGCAATCAAAGAGCAAAAAACGGCAGCTTCATAGGATCCCAACGCCACAATGAAGTCGAGCAAGGCTGGCAACTATGCACCCCTGGCACATCCACCGCTCACCAAGACATCAACAAAATCCAGGACAACATTTTCGGCCAACCACGCCCAAGGAAGGGCCCAGGAGGCCAGGATCTATTCCCACTCCACACACGAGAGGGGAGACATAGTGCATGACACCCAAGCAGACGTGCCCTCAACCCAATGGCTTGAGGCGCAACTTGCGTTCAAAGTTTCGATGGTTCACGGGATTCTGCAATTCACACCAAGTATCGCATTTCGCTACGTTCTTCATCGATGCAAGAGCCGAGATATCCATTGCCGAGAGTCATTTTTATTAAAAGGATGCGAAGCTCACAGGCAACATAATTGAGCTCTGCAAGGTTGCACACTCATTATTATATTCCTTGGCGCTGCTGCGCCGGTGTTTTTGTTCGTCTGGGCAAATCAGAAAGACAGCACCCCGACACTCGAATCAATAATTGGTACAGGTTGGCAAGTCATTCTACCGCGAGGGTTCGACAATGATCCTTCCGCAGGTTCACCTACGGAAACCTTGTTACGACTTCTCCTTCCTCTAAATGATAAGGTTCAATGGACTTCTCGCAACGTCACGGGCAGCAAACCGCCCACATCACCACGATCCGAACACTTCACCGGATCATTCAATCGGTAGGAGCGACGGGCGGTGTGTACAAAGGGCAGGGACGTAGTCAACGCGAGCTGATGACTCACGCTTACTAGGAATTCCTCGTTGAAGACCAACAATTGCAATGATCTATCCCCATCACGATGAAATTTCAAAGATTACCCGAACCTATCGGCCAAGGCTATACGCTCATTGAATACATCAGTGTAGCGCGCGTGCGGCCCAGAACATCTAAGGGCATCACAGACCTGTTTTTGCCTCAAACTTCCGCGGCCTAAGAGGCCGTAGTCCCTCTAAGAAGCTGGCCACGAAGGGATACCTTCGCATAGCTAGTTAGCAGGCTGAGGTCTCGTTCGTTAACGGAATTAACCAGACAAATCGCTCCACCAACTAAGAACGGCCATGCACCACCACCCATAGAATCTTGAAAGAGCTCTCAATATGTTCGGACAAGTCTCGCACTGAGGCGATCGGCATGAATAGTGTCCGGTTGTCTTCTCCGTTCATTTTCGCGACGTTGCTGGTGGTTTAACTCCTGAGTGGTTGCAGATTCTTCATCTCCTTGTTGTGACGAGCTTCTCCTATGGTGGAATCGCTGGATTCTATCATCTCTTGAAGTCAACGCAAGCTAGGGTTGGAGTTTCACTGTTCATCTTCTACGATGTCTCCTCCGATTTTTTCCAGGTAAGTGTGGCTTGTCTCCCTTTTCCTTTGCCATGGGGAAGAAGAAGACGACGAGGACTCCTGCGCATTCTCCTCCTCCCACTACGGTGAGGAAGGAGAAGAAGAAGAAGAGTACCAGACTTGTTGTAGATGATGAAATGGATTGTGTGAACACTGTGGATGCTGGGATTGAACTTTCTGATGAGGAAAAGGGTGAACCCTCGGTTCAGTCCTCTTTTGATACCTCAATTGATGAAGATGAAGTTGCCAGGACTCTCCAAATCTCTTTGGAGAAGAACCTGGAAGCCATCCTCGCTGATGATATAGATAACACCTTGGCCAATGAACAACCTCTGAACAAGGAGACACCTCCTGATAATGTTGCTGATACTCCTCTGGAACAACCTATCAGCAACGAGGAGAAAGAGAAGGAAAAAGAACCTCTTGATGCTGGAAAGAGTGGAGACAAACTGAAGGAAGATAAAGTGGATAAACCGGCTGATGCAAAGAAATCTTTTGCCTCCTTCTTCAAGAAAAATAGGGCAGAAGATAAAGGAATGAAGCTTCACAAGGTTGTAGCCCCTAAATGCTTTATACCTGAAGAAGACATGCTGACTGTGGAAGAAATTTGGGGACCTTGCTTGGTGGGTTGCTTCACTGGTAGATTCCCTGGGTTGATAGCCATCCAAAAACTGGTTGACAGTTGCGGAGTCAAGTGCAAGTTTCTACCCCACCACCAAGGATGGGTTGTCTTCAAATTTCTTACCAATGAGGATAGGGATTCTGCTCTCTTACATGCCAAGAAGGAACTCAATAATAAGAAATTGCTCATTAACATCCCCCCTGATGACTTTATGTGGGATGTTAAGTCCTTTTCAACTATGCTTGTTTGGGTTAAGCTGTGGAATGTCCCCATGAGGTTCTGGTCCTCAAATGCCCTATCACACATAGGGTCATAACTTGGCACTCCCTTGTACACTGATGGCCTCACTCACACAGTGGCTTCCAAGTTGAGTGCTGAGGATCAGGAAGAGAATGATGAGCTTAAATATCAGAAGCCTAATTACTGCAGAATGTTGATTAACATGGACCTATCCCTCACACCTCCCACTTCTGTTGAGGTGGATTTTGTTGGGGGTAGCTATGTTCAAAAGGTTGAGTATGAGGACATGCCTCAATACTGCTACCACTGTAAGTGTTTTGGCCATGACCCCTTTAAATGCTCAGTTCTTCATGAGATTAACAAGAGAAAATTCAATGAAGAACAAAAAGCAAGAGAGAGGGCTAGGGTTGAAACCCTCAAAACCATAATGCTTACAGAAGCACAACAACAACCACTGAATGGGAAGGAAAATGGGAAAGATGAAGTGAACAACATTGCTGGAAACAAAGGAAAAGGAAAGGAAAGTTCAGGTGGTGTGGCCCAAAACCCAAATGATCCTGGCCCATCCTTTACTGCCCATATTGAGGATGATGGCTTCACACAAGTTGGAGGGGGCAAGGGCAAACTTACAACACACCCTATCAGAGATGGAAAGCAGAGGACTGGATACAACAAAGGGGGAGGTCAGACTGGAGGATACAGAGGTGGACCACACAGAGGAAGGGGAAGGGGCTATGGCCCTTACCGTTGATGAAGGTACTTTGTTGGAATATTAGAGGCCTTGGCAAGGCCTCTAAGCAAAACTTTTTGTGTAAATACCTTTTTGAACTTGATGTCAAGTTATTTTGTGCTTTAGAAACAAAAATGAATACTGCCAAACTTAACCTTTTTGCTAAAAACAAACTCCCATCATGGAGCTTTTCACATAATTTTGATCTTATTGATGATGGGAGAATGGCAGTTTTTTGAAATCCTTCCTTTGTGGAGTGCACTATTATTCATGTCACTGACCAGCTTATGCATTGTAAGATCAAGTGCCTCATTTCTCAAAGGAGTTTTTTTGTTTCTTTTGTTTATGCCCTCTACTGTGTTACTGCCAGAAGGGGGTTGTGGGATTTTTTGACTAACATTGCAGGTGATTTCAGTGGCCCTTGGGCTGTTATGGGGGATTTCAATGCAGTTATCAGCTCTACTAAAAGAGTGAACTGCCAAACCCAGAGTGCCTATTACATGACAGATCTCAGACAGTTCAGAATCAACAATGCCTTGAATGATGCAAACTCATCAGGGCTGGAATTTACTTGGAACAAAGGTGAAAAATGGGCCAAACTAGATAGAGTTCTGGTCAATGATGAATGGGAAAATATGCAATGGGACTGCTGGGCTGAATTTAGAGACATGGAGGCAATCTCTGACCACTGCCCAGTGTTGCTGAAACTCATGAATATTCTGAACCAGAGAACCAGGCCTTTTAAGTTTTACAACATGTGGCTCAAGCATGAGAATTTTGATATGGTGATCAGGGAGAATTGGAACCAGTGGGTCAATGGAACAAGGCAGTACAGATTATGTGTCAAACTCAAAAAACTGAAACAACCTCTGAGGCTTCTGAATAAACAACATTTTGCCCATATTTCTCAGAGAGCTGAATCTGCCAGAAAGGAGTATAGCCATCTCATGCAGGAGCTGATCTTGGAACCTGAGAATCCTTCCCTTCTGTCCAGAAGTGTTGAACTCAGAAACAAAGCCAGTTTTTTCATGGATGCTGAAAGATCTTTCTTCCAACAGAAGACCAAGTGTGAACTACTCTTTGAGGGGGACAAATGCACCAAATTTTTCCATGCCCTGATGAGGAAAAAGAATCATAGCAGTGCCATCCCCTTCATTCTTACAGTTGATCAGAGACTCACCACCAGTTTGGAGGAGGTTGAAAAGGAATTTACTGAGTACTTTACCAATCTTTTTGGAACCACTGTCCCCATTGAACCTGTTGATTGGAATGTTTTTGAAGAGGGCCCTCTCATCCCCAACCATGCAGCTAACAACCTCATCAGAAAGGTGACTATTGAAGAGGTTAGGGATGCACTATTTTCTATTGGGAATAACAAATCCCCTGGCCCTGATGGTTACACTTCTGCTTTCTTCAAAGAAAAGTGGGATATTGTTGGAAATAATCTGTATGAAGCAGTTTCTGAATTCTTTATTAGTGGGAGAATCCTTAAACAACTCAACCATGCTATTGTGGCCTTGATCCCTAAAGTCAAAGTGAATCCCACTGTTAGGGATTTTAGACCTATAGCCTGCTCCAATGTGATCTATAAAGTTATTACTAAGATTTTGTCCAACAGAATGAGTCACATACTTCCTGAAATCATTGATCAAGCACAGTCTGCTTTTGTGGGTGGGAGAAGTCTGGTGGACAACATACTGCTGGCACAACACTTGGTTAGAGGGTATGCCAGAAAAAGAAGTCCTCCTTGCTGCATGATTAAAGTGGATATAACCAAGGCATATGACACTATCTCTTGGGAATTTTTGAAGAATACTATGACTGGCCTTGAATTCCCCACTAAGTTCACTGATTGGGCAATGGAATGTGTATCTTCTGCATCCTTTTCCTTATCTTTGAATGGGGGAATTCATGGCTTCATCAAGTGCAAAAGAGGAATCAGACAAGGAGACCCCATGGCACCTACCTTGTTCTTATTCTGCATGGAATACCTCTCTAGACTTCTGAAAAGAATGACAAGAGAGAGGAGATTTAATTTCCACTCTAAATGCTCCTCATTGAAGATAACACACATTGCTTTTGCTGATGACATCATGATGTTCTCCAGAGGGGACAAAGATTCTGTCCAGATCCTTGCTGATGCCTTGAAGCACTTTTCCTCTGTCTCAGGCCTCCATGTCAATGCACAGAAATCAAATATCTACCTGGCAGGGCAAATCAAGGGGAATAAGCAGCATATCCTCAACTTGGTGAATTTCCCTGAAGGACTTTTACCAGTTAAATACCTGGGACTGCCACTCACTTCACAAAGGGCATCAAAGAGGGACTTTACACGACTGATTGAAACTGTTGATGATAATATAAGAAGATGGAACACAAAAACTTTGACCATTGCTGGAAGAGCTGAACTTATTAGGAGTGTTATCCAAGGGATAGAAGGTTTTTGGCTTCAAGCTTTCCCCATCCATAATCTATCCTTAACAGAATAACCTCCATTTGCAGAACATTCCTTTGGGGAAACAAATTCTACAAAGTGGCTTGGGATGATATTTGCAAACCAAAGGAGGAAGGGGGACTTGGGCTTAAGAACTCAGAAGTCTGGAATCAAGCACTTGTGGCTAAAAACCTTTGGAACATTGCTTCAAGGAAAGAAACCCTCTGGGTTCAGTGGGTTCACAGTGTCTACCTCCAGGACAGAGATATTTGGGCCTGGATCCCTAAACATGGGGATTCACACTTCTTCAAAAAACTTGCAGAAGTGAGAAACAATCTGGCCCAGAAGCTTGGTACTGATCAGTATCAAGAAGTGGATTGGGATGAACTCCTTGTAGATGGAGAATTCTGCACAACAAAGGTGTATGATTTATTGAGAGTTCATTTGCCTCCCAAACCCTGCATGAAAATGATTTGGCAAAGCTACATTCCACCCAAATTCTCTGTTACAACCTGGCTTGCCATCAGAAGGAGGTTATCAACCAAGGTGAATCTGGGATTCATCCCCATGGAGAATAGGAATTGTAGCCTCTGTGGACAAGAACTTGAGACCACTGATCACCTTTTCTTTGCTTGCACTGCTTCCCATCAGATTTGGAAGAATATGAAAGATTGGCTCAAAATTCCTTATGCACTCTCAACTATTGAAAGAGTCATCAAATGGCTCCTTGGAAGGCATAGAGTTCATGGTAACCTAAGAAACATTTGGAGATTAGCAGCAATGAGTACCATACACCATATTTGGAAGATGAGAAATGCTATCTATTTTGAGGGTAAGAGTGTGGACTGTGATGCAATTACTTGGAAAATTAAGGTGGGGGTCTATAAGATTTGCTACAGGCTCTATCCCAATATTGCACTGTAAGCCCTCTCTCTTAATCTTGTGACTGGTTGGATTGATTGGGTTATGTGTTTAATGATTTTCTCATTAAACCACTTAATCTGTTTTCTTGGTACATCATTGACTCTATCATACTGGTTTCTAGTCTGATTAGGCTAATGATGTACCATGGGTGGGGTTTTTACTCCTGGCTGTTGGTTGGTGGATAACAGGATACATAGTGCCTACCCCTTGGATAAGCAATATGTTCCCTGGGATCAGGGGGGATGTTTTCCCTTGGTGGTTGGTGGCTTGGATACTCAACATTCTCTGGTTATTCATTTTTGAATAACTCTAGAATGTTTTGAATCCTGGGTTGGGTGGTTGGACCCCTTTGGCTTTGCCACTGGGGTGGTGGAAATAAATCAGACTCTATGTACCCCTTTTGGATACGTAGAGACTGACTTAGGTCCTGGTTGGGGTGTTCACACCCATTTCCTTCTTTTTCTCCCTCTCCTCCCCTTCTTGCTGTTCACCCTTCTCTTCTTTGCCTCCTCCTTCTCTCTTGGTCATAACCTGGTTGTTCACACTCCAGTCATTCTTCAGATGGAGTATGAGCAGACTTGGTTATGGCCTGGGTTACTTATGGGTGGGTGGACCCTT